ATGAGAGGGAGCGAGAGAGAGAAATGGGGTTTAACGTCCACTCAACAAAAACTAGGTCATTTCGGGACTAACACATGGTTCAATTTTATTTCAATAATTCGCTTGCACGTAGGGTTCATTAGCAGTGGGAGGTAACCGGAGGACCCAGAGAAAACCCAGGAGGTTGGACAGGTGACCCTACTCCTTGTCACGTACAACCGGGGAATCGAAACCCCGCCAGTTGACTCAATGACAGACCTTATAATACAGCGCGCACGTGCTAACCATTCGGTCATCTAAGCCCTCACTTTTATATGAGGAAGTCACAGACACCATGACCATATTATTACAGATTTGTCAAGGATATCAATTTATATTTTTTCATTACAACACCAATGACAGGTTAATAATTCTAAGAGTTACTAAAGAACACCTAAGGTGAAATTTTTCTTTCAGTATTAGCCTACTTTTTGCTACTTCCTTAACCTCAAAGAGAAAACATATTTTCTGTGGGTGTTTTTTAGATGGTAACTAATGGAAAATTTAGTTGGAAATATTTCTAATGTCATTATTGTGCGTTGTCATGACATGATGAAAAGTCAGATTATATACATACATATATAAAGAGATTAACGTAGATCAAGTACTTCTATGTTTACGGAAGATAAATACATGAAAATAATTCAAAAATATGTCCAGTTAAAAATATCAACCAGTTTTACGTCTGGGGTTTAATGTCCACTCGACACAAACTAGGTCATTTAGGGACTAACATATGGTTAATTTTATTTCAATAATTCGCTTGCGCATAGGGGTCTTTAGCAGTGGGAGGGAACCAGAGAACCCGGAGAAAACACACAAGGTTGGATAGGCAACCCTACTCCTTGTCACGAACAACCGTGGAATCGAAACCAGGCCAGTTGACTCAATGACAGACCTTATGATAGAGCACGCACGTGCTAACCATTCGGCCATCCAACCCCCCATCAAATCATAAGCTGGATGAATGGAATGACTGAAATGGGGTTTAAGGTCCTAGTCCTACTGTTCGTCTCTGACTGGGCTAAGGATACCATAAGCTAGCTGTCTTCTCTTAATTCAGTGTCTTCAGATGAAATAATGCATACATATACCTGCCAGTTCATTACATAACATCGTAGGTCAGAAATGTCAACATTTCAGGCTACAAACTGGGATCTAAAAGGCTCATCATATTTAAAAACATGTAAGTTCATTACACCATTTCACTGTGACCGGAGTTTTTTAGCGGAGGTAAAGTGTCGTCTAATGCATGCGCTTTAGATCATAAGGTCTGTCCTTGTATCAAGTGGATTGGTTTGAATACCAGGATTGTATATGCGACAATGAGTTAGGGTTACCTGCCTAGCCTCATCCTGTAAGCGGCAGTCTTATTTTCAAAATCTTCTCAACTAGTGAACAAGGAGTTAGGGTCACCTGCCTAGCCTCATCCTGTAAGCGGCAGTTTTATTTTCAAAATCTTCTTAGCTGTGATTAGCAGTACCCTTATTTTCTGCCTTAATCTGACAACATAATGATTCTATAATTTCAAATTGATACAAATATTACAAGGAAGTAATTAATATAAATCGTTTGATCTTATCAGGCTGTAGATTATTTGATTTAATCGTTTTAGAGATTTTATCTTATTTATGATATCAGAAGGAAGAATAGATATTGACCCAAGTATCTTATTTAATCGTAGCTAGTTTTACCTCCTACTTACAAGTTATTTATGTAACGCTGTTTGTGCGTCTGTTCCAAATCAAGACGTTTTTGTTACAAAACACAAAACATCTGGTTTAATAGGATTTCTCAATGCGTATTTTGTTTTCAAGAGAATTATATAAGGGTTTTGGAATATTTTGAATGGATGAAATAATAGATTACTAATTAATTTTCTTGTTACAAAAATAAATCAAGATTTTGTGTGGAAGATGATTTAAATCTTAATTATAAATATCAGGTTAATTATGTTTTTGAACGATGTTGAAATATCTTCCTTAAATGAAAACATAATTTATGCTTCAGATTTACAAATAAAATTGTCTGATTTTAAAATTTTAATTTTACTCTTCTACTAGTGGTCTCTATGGTTATTACTACTAGTGGTCTCTATGGTTATTACTGTGTCCATTTTTATTATAGGCTAATCTAATGGTAGGATGTGGTGATCCAGTGACCAGGTCCCACTGGTAACCAATCACTATTGGTCAAAAAGCTAGGTCACTGTGGCCATTTTATATCTAGGCTACTTGGTCACTATGGCCACCAGTTTACTGCGGACATTTTTGATCTAGGCTATGCTAATGCTAGTGTGTAATAATCAGGTCACCGTATTTTAAAAAGCCCAAAATGCTTACCACTGGCGGCACTGTCCTGCATATTCATTGACTTGATATGAGTCCTCCTGTACAGCAAAAAGTTTGTTTTGTATTAAGGGTTTGTAGCTAGTTGTCATATCTGGAGTGACTCTCCTGGACTATGCCTAAGGGAAGGGACGCCAGGGAACACCTCCAGAGAAAATTGGTAAAGTTCAAGGAAACTGTAAATAATCTATGTTACACATATAGGAGGAAGTGTGACGGTTGCGGGGGTAGAGAGGTTTATCAACTAAACATGCCATTTATTATGTTTTACGGTTGCGGAAGACAGAAGCTCATCAATAAAAGTGATGTGCTCGGCCATACATTCATCATTGAAGTTTGGGTGAAGTTTATTGGTTGCGAAGGAAGAGAAGTTTATCAACAAAAGGTTTCATGTATTCTTTTTATGGTTGCGGGGTTTGAGAGGTTTATCAACAACCGGTGTTGTTTATTATATTTACGGTTTGAGAAGACAGAGGCTTGTCAATAAAAGATCTTTGGGTGTTGGATTTTTTTTTGTGGTTTTTGTTAAAAAAAAAAGGTAGCTCCTTTTTACAAAAGGAACACTCAGTATATCTCTTGATGTCTTTTATATCAAAGACCTATACAAAGAGAAAGTTAATGCATCCATCATCACCTGATCCATTATGACAAGTTGTAGGCGTGAAGCCTCTATCAACCAACCTTCACCTCTCCAAAGATTTCTAGGGCTTACACAGCTCCTAATTTAGACCTAATTCATCATTCAACTGACAAGACCTGTATATCAATTTTTTTATGTAAATTTTAATACGGAGAAAAAAAGACGAGGTCATTTTGAAGTAACATAGTAATTTTCAATTCAATAATTCAATTCCGCCTAGGTGTCTTTAGCAGTGGCGAAGGAGGAAAAGAAAGAGAGACACACACCCACACACAGATAGAAGAGAGAGAGAGAGAGAAAGAGAGAGAGAGAGATGAAATGGGGATCAACATCCTACTGTTCTGTTCCTACTGGGCTAATGAAGAGTGGCATGGCTATGCAGTCTGCTACGGCCTACTCTTATATCAAATTCCAACTGCCAAGGGATGTTTTACGTGTATGCAAATGCATACCCAGGGGGTCACCCCATCCAAATAATTAGACAGTTGTCCTTGTCAAGCCCTGCAAATGCATACACAGGGGGTCACCCCATCCAAATGACTAGACAGACCTGCATACTGCACCCCTGACAAGTAGAAAACAAGCCGGAAAATCCTGATAAACTTTCGCGCAGGGATCGAATACGCAAACTCCACTCAACACAAACTGGGTCATTTTGGGACTAACATATTGCAATCCTTAGAAGTAGGAGGAAACCATAGAACATAGAGAAAGCCCACAAAGAGTCCATCCTCCTTGTTACATACTATTCTGGTTCTGGGATTAATTCCAAGTCATTTTACTCAGTGACACAAAGCAAAAGTCTTAGACCAATCAGAAACCCAACACCCACCCTGGATTTTATTTTTATTGCAAAATGCTGAATGTTGATGTTTCCTTGTTAGAACATCTTTAAATGTGTGTGAGAGAGAGAGAGAGAGACTACTCAACACAAATACATAGGAATCTTTACTGTTATTGATGTCATGCAAATGGCAGCATATCATAAATCTTTCAAGAAAATTGGCTGTCTATTTGCTTATCAAATGAAATGGGGTTTAATATCCTACTTTTCCAATTTATTTGCTTATCAAGTCTAGGCATGGGCATTGTTCAGGTGGTGAGTAAGTGGGTTTTTTTTATTTTTTTCACCTGGAATGTAAAATCTAGTGTCATCCAATCTAGAACTATATTTGTGACACCTTATTTGTCAAGAATGGAATATAAATTTGTCAGTTTATGTTAGAACATATTTAATCCTTGTCTCCCCAAATGTCTGACAACACTTGTTTTATGAGACCTTGATGGCTTTTTCTTGCTGCCTAATTAGCTAGTCATTCTGGCGGATGACATGTCATTAAAATACACACGTAACAAATCAACCCAACTAAAAATTTATTTTATACGTCTCTCTGTATGATCGTATGACCTAGAACATTTCAATTATTAAATGATGTAGTAAAATATCATCAAACCCCAAAAAATTATTTTGCAAATATTAAGAAAACTAAACAAAAATATTTATTTGATATTTCGAAAGAAAAAATAACTGTGAAAAGAAAAAGGACATTTATTTTGCAAATCTGAAAGCTACATTTAAGAAAAAAACAAAATTAGCAAGAAAAGTCAAAATAATATATCTTGTAAATATCAAAGTTACTCACGAGAGATTTATTATAGCAAATTAAGGTAGCAGGATTAAAAACAAACTTTTAAATGATGTATGGCATAAAAAATACACAAAAAAAGTTACATAAATCCTATGAAGTTGATCATTATTTTAAGAAATATGGAAGAACAGATTAGCTAGATGACCGTGAAAAGAGAAGACAATTTGTCTTGTAAATATCAAAGTTCACTTCAAAAGATTAATAAAAGGAGAATTAAGGGAGTATGGATAAAAACTTTCGAGCTGTGTAGAAAACAAATCTAGTTGATCCTCTAAGTACCTGTTAAGTTGATCAATATTTTAAAGGACATAGACCAGAAGGATAGTTACTCATGTAAAGAAAGAGAGAGAGAGAGAGAGAGAGAGAGATGGGATTTAACCTCCACTCGCCACAGTTTAGGTCATTTTAGGTCTACTAATATATTATGGTTCAATTTCTATTTCAAAATTCACCGGCATTCTACAAGGGCCATAACTCTAGAAGTAATTAATGGAAAGGGGGGTATGTATTTTAATTATTTCTCATAATGCTCATATTTTGATTAATGTTTTTTATTGTAATTTTGTTAAAGTCATTATTTGTTTTATTATCAATCAATGACATTTTAAATCATAAGTTGATTCTTGGATTGAGGCAGACAAAAAGAATGATGAAACCCTTGACTACCAGAATGTAAATAAGCTGTAACCACACCTTTATTACAGGTATGTCAAGAATCAAGATAAACACAAGGAATAAACACACAATAACATTAGATCTATTGTTTACCATTCCATTCATTGCAGGCAATTTGCCCATTAATAGATGAAATAACAATGGAGAGAGATAGAATGGAAGCGGGGAGAGTTTATTTTTAGGCCAACTGGGGAGGAAGATAATTCCCACACGCTGGGATAGACACTATAAGGGGATTTGGCAAAAAGGATTGGGTTTGGGGTAGGTAACTCTAATCTAATATTCCAGACAGGTCATACAGTACACCATTAATTTCCCCATTGACTTTAACGTAATTCTCGTGTGACGAGAATGGGGTTGAAGACTTTCTACCACAGTTGGAGCAACATATTGTGGCAACCTCTTGCTAAAAAGCGTATATGTAATTAAGTAAGTAAATTTATTTCATAAAAACGCCCGCGAGGAACAGCATACAATTACAAAAATGACATTAATACAATACAACAAATATACATGTAACAAAATAAACGAACATATATTATATAAAAATAGTTATAAGTTATATATACTAGCAAGTTGAAGTCGATTAAATAGCAAGGGGGATAATTAGCATGTGCTTCCTTTAGGACTCTGCCAGACTGTTGTGGACGATTGTCTGAATCATGGACATTTGTAACATTTACTTCAATCAAGATAGACCAATTTTATGCATGGGAATGGAAACTTAATAACGGACCTAATCTCCAAAACTAGATGCCAAGATCAAAGACCATAGCACTGCTTGAATATATTCTTCTACTGAAAATATTGTGAACAAAACATTTGGAGACAAATAAATAAAAATTAATTTTTGACTAAAGGAAAGGGTTGAGAAATTAATTCGACTTATTATGAAATATCCTATGACAGATGAGTTTCTCAGAGTGATGATATACACTGACCCCCTGGCCAAGGACATTAAATAGAGTAGTAATATTCACATTTTCTTGGCTTTAAATTATGTTTCAAAACAGAGGAAGATTGAGTTTTAAAACAATTCCCACAATCTAGGTCATTTTGAGACTAACATATATAGTACATAGTGGGAGGAAATGAAATGGCGTTTTAACATCTTACTGTTCTGCTCCTATACTGGGCTAATGAAGATGGACATAGGCCCTGCAGTGTGCTATGAAGGAAATTTTGCCCGGGCAGCGGCATTATGGCCTGCTCTTATATCGAATTCCAACTGCCATGGGATCTTTTACGTGTACAGCAATGTATACACGGGACCTCGGTTTTTCATCTCATCCGAATGACTAGACAGTTGTCCTTGTCAGGCCCTCCATCCTGCACCACTGACAAGGGCAAACCATGTCGGAAAATCACGTTGAACTTTCTCGGCCATTGCAGGGATTGAACACGCGATTTCCAGGCTAGCGAGCCAACGTCTTACCCACTTAGTCACCGTGGCTGCCATAGTGGGAGGAAAGCTAAGGATCCAGAGAGAATGCATAAGGTTATAGACAAGCACATCTAGTCCATGTCACATACAAGGTTATAGACAAGCACATCTAATCCATGTCACATACAAGGTTATAGACAAGCACATCTAGTCCATGTCACATACAAGATAGGCATCAAAAGGACAACAAAGCATATCTAACATATGTTGAACCATTTGTACATTCAACCTTTCATTTTAAAAACATTATTGGAATTAGATAAATAAGCATGAATTCCTATCTTAGAAGCAAAAGATAAATCATGAATGCCAAAAAAAAAATACAGTAGCTGTATGAACTACTCAGTTAAGACATGGTATCAGATGATTTAGAAATAATATGCATACCCTACCTTGTGGACCAATGCCTGTCATTAAAAAAGTAAAACATGGCATTCGGTGTGTAAACTTAATTAGATAGTCCATCTCACCGATTACAAATAACTATAGGATTGGCATGACCTTAATATTTGAGCACTGACGAAATCCAGAACAACAAGAGCATCAGGAGTCCCCTCTTCCACTAATTGTGTGATAAACAGGTTTCAAAAACAATGGCCTGACCTGACCTCTTAATTTAGGGTCAACCTGAATATTTTGTCCAGAGATGAAATCCAGATCTGTTAAGAGGGTGGAGCAATTTTGTTTCCCTTTCAGCACTAATACTTGTGGTGACAAGTGAGTTTTAAAAACTGACCTCTAACCAAATGTTAAGTCATCAACATGCCACAAAGTATACACAAACATATTAATTGCAAACTTTTCATTCATAAAGGAAACAAGCTGACTGAAAAGATGACAATGACAAACCAGCTTCCGTTCAAAAACAAATCCCTCAACAGCGGTGTGTAGAGAGAGGTCCACTGCGGCCCAGACAACCATTATAGAGGGGCATACAGTCAAGGAGTGAAAAATAAAATTTGGGAATTTTGAAAAATACGGCATTATCAGAGATTAGATAAAGAGTTGACAGTTCTCGCTATAATAGTTAAAAAATAGATAACGTAAAGATAATTTAATATGCTGAAAATTCAAATTACGCCACTCTGAACCAAGATATTAGCAATTGAATTTTAGGACTAGCCTCGATCATCATTACTAAAGTCGGTACGATAAAAAACAAAGTCTCGATTATCCATTTTGACGTTAAATCATCCTTCACAAAATATATTCAAATCCAGTAAATATCAGAGGCTAGAGATGGCATCAAAAGTTGTTTATGGTCTGGATAATTTAATTAATAATTTAGATAACATTTCAGACCTAAAGAAAGATCAGCAATAGGCAGATTCAGCTCTTGCATAATGTATGTTTAATGTATGTACTATCTACCCTACTTAATTTGAATAAAAAGTATATTTCATATGTTTTAAGAAATTTAAAATGACACCCAGTACTTGACAATATGCTTCAGTCATGTGAGCATACAATCAAAACCTCTCAACACCACTGTCCCTCAAAATATATTCCACCATTTTATTTACCTGTTGATGAATTTTGACAAATAGAAGATAGAAATAGCCACTGTTTTTTTTGGTTGTTTTTTTTTTTTTTAACTCATTTTTTATAAAACTAATTTTCTAAATTTTCTTCAAAACAAGAATCTATTTCTTGTTTTATATAAATATATATTACATTATAAAAGATATCAAAACAAGAATCTGTTTCTTGGATTAATTGTCATAATAATATATTGTCATAACAAAATTTTCTAGGTGAGGAAAACAGATTAGTTTTTTGTTTGCTAATTAAATCAGGTGGTATGTCACAGTTTTGACTTGTATATCCGTTTACAAAAATGTGATTATACAGGTAATAAAATACTTCAGTCATGTGATAATTTTATATTCCGATTTTAGTTTACATGCACGGAGAGTGGAAGCTGACAAACCCAAGGCACCATAATTTAATATTCCATCTTTAGTTTATGTGCACTGTGAGTGGTAGAATTTCAAATCAATGTCATGTCATGATTTAATATTCCGACTTTAGTTTACCTGCACGACTTTAGTTTACGTGAACTGTGAGTGGTAGAATTTCAAACCGATATCATGTGATGATTTAATATTCCGATTTTAGTTTACCTGCACAACTTTAGTTTACGTGCACTGTGAGTGGTAGAATTTCAAATCGATGTCATGTGATGATTTAATATTCCGACTTTAGTTTACCTGCACGACTTTAGTTTACGTGCACTGTGAGTGGTAGAATTTCAAACCGATATCATGTGATGATTTAATATTCCGATTTTAGTTTACCTGCAGGACTTTAGTTTACGTGCACTGTGATTGGTAGAATTTCAAACCGATGTCATGTGATGATTTAATATTCCGACATTAGTTTACCTGCACGACTTTAGTTTACGTGCACTGTGAGTGGTAGAATTTCAAACTGATGTCATGTGTTGATTTAATATTCCGACTTTAGCTAGTTTACCTGCACGACTTTAGTTTACCTGCACTGTGAGTGGTAGAATTTCAAACTGATATCATGTGATGAATTAATATTCCGACTTTAGTTTACCAGCACCGTGAGTGAAAATTTCAAACCGATGTCATGTAATGATTTAATATTCCGACTTTAGTTTACCTGCACGACTTTAGTTTACATGCACTGTGAGTGGTAGAATTTCAAACTGATATCATGTGATGAATTAATATTCCGTCTTTAGTTTACCTGCACTGTGAGTGGAAGAATTTCAAACTGATGTCATGTGTTGACTGAATTTTCCAATTTTAGTTTACATGCACATACTATGAGTGGAAGAATTTCAAACCGATGTCATGTGATGATTTAATATTCCGATTTTATTTTACACGTACCCAGAGAGGAAGAATCTTAAACCAAAGTTTTTAATTCTAGTTTATAGTACTGGCTTGGGCTTAAAGTCCAATCAACAAAAACTAAGTTATTTCAGGACTAACCTATGGTTTATAATTCCCTGGCACATAGGGGTCTTTAGCAGAGGGAGGAAACTGGACCAAAAATGGAAGACTATTCGGCTGTCTGATTAATCTATCAAACCCAGCCATGTCCGATCTTCACACTGAATGAGAAGATATTATATCATGATCATTTACAAACTAATTGAATCTTGCAAATCTCTATTTTTATCTTTCTCAATAAACTTGACCGACGGACTGATGACAAATAAATCTGCTCTGTTTGCTCAAACCAATGAATGGCGGTATGACGCACCCCAAATTAGGGTGGTCGTTTATTAAAGGAATATAATTAACTATTAATTATAACATCAAAATTTACAAAAATGAAATAGACATAATTAAAATAAATTCACCAAATGATGTTTTTTGAGTGAAGGTGTAGCGGCCCAAAAAACCGCCATAGACGAAGTAATAGAATAAACTATAGGCAAACTGGATGCCGAGAAAAAACAAACCGCTCACACGCTTCGAAGTTTTTCCAAGAAGGGAGTCACGTGGTGGCTGTTCACATGACATGTTTAAAGACAGCTTAAAGCTGCATGCTCATATAAAAATTCGTCTTTGGCAAGACGTTGTATTTCGTTTGAAAACTCCAATTAATAAATAGGTTGTCTACCAATATAACGTTTGTTTACAGGAAGTAAGGTTATCAAGAGATAAACAATGGATATCCTATTCAAGAATATTGAAAATACCAAAGCTTAAACACTTTGAAATTGTACATTAATATACATATTCATCATTTAGTACGATTAAAAGTTGATTAATGACGACAATTTATTCTGGCTTGCAGAGACTTATAGATTTATAAACAATATTGCAAGTACCAGAGCTTAAACTGAGAGAGAGAGAGAGAGAGAGAGAGAGAGAGAGGGAGGGTTTAACTCCACTCCACACAAACTAGGTCATTTTGGGACTAACATATGGTTCAATTTTATTTCAATAATTCTCTTGAGCGTACGGGTGTTTAGCAGTGGGAGGAAACGAGGTTGACAGGCAACCCTACACCTTGTCGCATACAACTGGGGAATCGAAATCTCAATGACAGACCTTATGATACAACGGGCATGCGCTAAGCATTCGGCCATCCAACCCCCCTTAATCTGTTAGAAATTATAAATTGATATACATATTCAACACTTATGATTAAAAACTGATTAATGACAAATGATTCTGGTTTGCGTAGACTTATGGCCGCTTAAAACATATTAAAGACACGCCTAGGTTTAACATTATTTTCATAAATAAAACAGAAATATAAAATGTTATGTCAAAAATGGGTAAACATTAAAAACATTAATTTCTTCATCTTATAAAGGACCTTCAAAATCTGACCTGGTTTTTTAAATGACATAGATAATAGATATAAATGCGCAAAACTATTGCTCAAAAACTTGTCAACAAATTTAATTTTATGTCATAAAACTGTAAGCATTGAATATTTTACACCCAATTTAAATGATGCAATTTAAAAAAATTTCGAAAGAAAATTGACATCAATCTTTTCCCTTTCAAAAAAACACCCACCTGCTTCAAAACCGAAATTTGTCAACAAAATAAAATTAACGATTACAACCACCAACAACAAATTTTTAATGACGCACATTTAAGAAACTAGATCTTAGAAAAACAAGATAGTTTCTACGCCTTCACCGAGAAAACGCACATAATATTGACTTAGATGAAGCCATTACAAATGAAGACAGTAGCCTGATTTCTTCCCCTTATTTAATAAATTAAGTTCATCAAGATGTATGCGACCATAACATCACAGAATTAGAAACATCTTGTCGAACAAGTTTATGAAAACTGTCATAACTTCATATTTTCTATACAATTATTAAACCAGAAATAATTGCCTTACTTGGACTAATATATTAGAACGTGACAGATGAAGACCCAAATAGGACATTAATTCTTTGTATAATGAATTACCTGAACGTCAATTTTACGTTTTTCCAGTTTTTTCTTGAAGATACTTGTTTAAAGAACCTGTAAATTCAGCTTTAAGGCAATAGATAAGTAGCGTTATACGTTATTAAATGGATTATGGGTGTTTAAATGCAATAAAGTCTTGTCTTGTCTAACCGATGAACATTCCAGTGTATATTAGAGTATTTTACAGTATATATTTTAATTACTCCCTGTATATCCAATATCTTTCAGGGTACATTCAAATATATATATATCCAGGATATATTGCGGTTTCTCTCAATGTATATTATACAAAGGGATTTGACACAACAGTTATAGAGCATGATTTGTGACCAAATGGTTGTAACTTTGGGACTCGAAGCTCTTGAATAGATGATGATGAGTTAGTTGTATTTTACGTCCGCTTCCACCGAGGTGATATCTTGAATAGAACACACTTCATCTCTATATTCAGACCTACTCAGCTGTAAAATGGATACCAATGTATATTATAGTATCTCCCAGAGTATATTTGAGTTACACCCTCTGCATATATTAGCGCACCAGCGAGTGTATATATGGGTATCTCCCAGTTTATATTAGAGTATCTCCCAGTGTATATTAGGGTATCTGCCACTGTATATTGGAGTGTATATTAGTGCATCTGCCCGTGTATATTAGAGTTACACCCAGTGTATATTAAAGTACCTCCCAGTGTATATTAGAGTTATACCCAATGTATATTAAAGTACCTCCCTATGTATATATCAGAGTATCCAGAGTGTATATTAGAATATCTTTCAATGTGTATTGGAATTATACTCCCTGTGTATATTAGAGTTACTTCCAGTGTATATTAGAGTATATTAGTAGGATTTGTCACCAAATCGTTGCTGGTTCGAGACTTGAATCATGTATCATGTCGAACTTGAATAAAGCACACTTCATTCCTGTATTCCAATCTACCCAGTTGTAAATGGATATATGTATAAGAGAATAAAAGTAAACTTACCTAGATATGTACTGCATATATACTCTGCTATCTGATTTCCTGATTTACTCGATTCTGCAAAATGACTCAATTCTCTGTTTAACATCCGTTTAAACTAAAAAGAAAGAATAAATTTAATAATTTAATGAGTTTTCAAATTTCTCAAAACAGAAAATCTGCCAAATCAATATAGTCCCTTTCTCGATTTCTTTAAAAAAAATCAGCTGATTTCATTTCACAAATATTGTTAATTATTTCCCATAGGAAACTCCAAAAAATATCCAAATTCTATTCAGTTCTGTTTTAATTAACACCGAATATACAAAAATGCCAGTTTAAATAGCACTAAACTATTATTGGAATTCAACAGGTATGTGTGTACTATTAACCAAGAATGATGTAATTGCAGCCATCTTGGAATTGTGACATCCGATCAAGAATTGATGCACAATTGTCCAAGATACAAGCTTCCTAAATTTCATCCCGTTTTGGGACATATCAAAAATCGAAGACTGGCAATTGATACATAATTGTCCAAGATGTCGATTGTACATAGAAATTGGCACACTACACAATTGTCCAAAATGTCGAATGTACATAGAAATTGCTGAGTCTTAGGCTTCGAACAACAACGACAAAAATGATAAGTAGGGCTTGCAACCAGTTCCTGGTCCAAAAAATGTTTGTTGAGCACCACTCAAACCTCAATATTTTTTTTTAACAGGTAAAACCATTGAGAAACTTACCTTACTAGATGCCATATCACTAACAGACCGGTGTGTTTGTATCGTCTCAAGCTGATCCAAGCACCAATCAAGTTCTTCAAGAGTTTCCATCGCTAGTTTATGGTAATTAAGTTCTTCTGAAATATGAATCCATGAAATGTGAAATCTGAATAAAATTTCAAATTCTTTCCATGTCTTATTAATCCTAGAAAAAATGGTGAAAGGTCTGTCTTATAATATTGGGGTCTGTGGTCATGGAAATGTGTACACAGGACGCCTGTTTTTTGTCCCATCCAAACAACTATGAAGTTAGTCATTTAGACAGCAGGTTTAGAAACTGAGGTCCTCCATTACACATTAGCATATAACTGAACCTGTAAGACATTGAAAATAGTTCGTGGATACATCTGTCATACCCAAAATCTCTTGGTTTGTGAGTCATTGACAGACCTTATGATCTAAAAAAAACAACTGATATCACTTCTAATTGTAATTGGTGAATTGTGTGTGGCCTACTTAACTTAATTAAATATTCATAACAATTCAACTCCTAATTTATCAAACTTATATTTGCAAAGAATTTAACATCCCTCCAATAATGATCATGGGGTTGTCGACTGGTCCAACACATGCACTTTTGATCCCAAGGTTTTGTCTCGACAAGGAGTAAGGTTGCCTGCTTAACCTTGTTGTTTTTTCTGGGTCCTCAGGTTTCCTTCTACTGCCCTAGTATGTGCAAACGAATTATTGAAATAAACTTCTAATGTATGTAAGTCCCAAAATAACCTAGTTTGTGTCGAGTGGACGTTAAGTCCCATCTTTCTTTTTTCTCCGCAGGTTTGTCTTTTTTGTTTTGTTTTGTGTGTAGTGCAGTTGTCCTGCACTTAATATTAAAACACATGGTACCAAGTCTTACTTATCTGGGACATTCTAAAACTATTTTATTGTAGTCTAAAAAAAAATTTTACCAAATGAACTTGGGTCTACATAACTTCGTGAAAGAAAATGTTCTAATCTGATAATGATTATTTTAATTGTGTCAGTGACGTCAACTATATATATTATAAGATAGGCCATTTCATATCCCATGACTATTTAATCTTGTTTATAACAAATCCATGGCACCACATGACATGAAATTCACAAGAGAAATTGAAAACTGCGGCCCCCTTTATTGATATTAAAGATAAGATGTAGGTCTATGATAACAAGATCAAAGTCATAACAAATTTGATATAATTGATTTTGTTAACAAATGACATGAAATATTGTTAACAACAGAAAGAGAAATGAGGTTTAATGTTCACTCCAGAGAAACTAAGTCATTTCAAGACTAACATAAGTTTCTGGGGGATCACGTTGGCTAAGTGGGTAAGACGCTGGCTCGCTATGACAGCTGTCTAGTCGTCTGGATGGGATGAAAAACCGAGGTCCCGTGTACACATTAGCATGCATGTAAAAGATCACTTGACAGTTGGAATTTGATATAAGAGTAGGCCGTTGTGCCGCTGTCAGGGCAAAATTTCCCTCATAGAACAGTAGGACGTTAAACCCCATTTCATTTCACTTCAACATATCGTTCCATAACATTTCAATAATTCACTTGTGGGTAGGGGTCTTTAGCTATGTGGGAGAAAAACGACAAGGTTGGACAGGCCACCCTACTCCTTATCACGTACAAGTGTAGGGAATCGAAACCAAGCCACTTGACTCAATGAAAATCCTTATGATTTAAAGCGAACATGTTACACCATTAGGTCACCCAACCCCCCATATTGTTAACAAACAATTGATATGAAATGAAATGTGGTTTATAACGTCCAACTTTTCTGCTCCAACATAACTAATGCAGACGGGGTACACAATGTAGTGTACTATCAGGGAAATTTGGACCAGACAGCGGTACTACGGCCTACTCTTATTCCAACTGTCAAGGGTTATTTTACGGGCATGCCAGTGTTTCCATGGAATCTCTTTTTTCGTCCCATATGAATGACTAGACGCTGTTCCTTGCCAAGCCTTCCATCATGTGCCACTGACATGAAGAAACTACAGTCGAAAATCCAGAGGAATTTTCTCGGTCAAAACAACGAGAGAACCTGTGGCCTCCAGGTTTAAGACATTTTATTTCTAGCACTGCCAAGCCTTCCATCATGTGCCACTGACATTGGGAAACTACACCCGAAAATCCAGATGAGCTTTCTCAGTCAACACCAAGAGAGAACCTGAGGCCTCCAGGTATAAGACATTTTATTTCTAGCACTTGCCAAGCCTTCGATCATGTGCAACTGACATGGGGAAACTACACCCGAAAATCCAGATGAGCTTTCTCAGTCAACACCAAGAGAGAACCTAAGGCCTCCAGGTATAAGACATTTTATTTCTAGCTCTTATGGTAAAATATATAACTCACTTTAGTAAAATTTATATTACTTATTTGAGTAATTCGTAATTTGAATAAAACTAAGCATAAATATAATGGCCAACATTTCATTGGCTTGTATTTCAAAATATTTTAATTGTAGATTTTGTGAATAAGAAAGGTCCCTGGGCAAGGTTCTAATATTTAGAAAAAAAACCCCAAAACATTTAGTTTTGATTTCAATACGGAATGGAAAAGGAAGAATTAAAATATTTTCATAGTAATAGATATGATATCTGCTTCAAGATAAAGTTCATGGACACCATGTTTTGTAAAATCAATACAGTTTTATTTTTGTTTTTCACTTAATAGATTTGACATTTTCATAAAAAGATCTTGGTTCGATAATACACTATATCAACACACGTCGATAAAGTAAAACCAGCAGTTGCCAGGCAGAATACGCCCACATTTTCGAGAGATGGATAGAGAACAAGCTAATAAGAAAGTGATTTTTCCTACAATCAAAGGCCATAATTCAGGAAATTACAATTCGATATGCGCAAATATCGAAAGGAACCGAAATCTTTGGGTTATAAACTTACATTTCAAGTTTCAACAAAATCGGATAAAAATTGTGACCTGTATAGGGTCCACAACCTTGATATACCATATTTTTAAGCTATTTGAGACCGAGGGGCGTCCATTTTGTCTGTCAGTTTTGGGCCGATTTTTGCAAAATTCAAACTTAGCCTTCCTTAGGGTGTAACGGTGATATAATAATACGGTTTTTTAAATCGGATAAAAATTATGACCTCTATAGGGTCCACAAGCTAAAAACGCGATTTTTCGTACAATCAGGGGGCATAATTCAGGAAGTTATGGTCCGATATGCGCGAATATCGAAAGGAACCGAGATCTTTGGGTTATAAACTTACATTTCATGATTCAACAAAATCGGATAAAAATTGTGACCTCTATAGGGTCCACAAGCCAAAAATGTGATTTTTCGTACAAACAGGGGCCATAATCCATGAAGTTTCGATCCGATACAAGCCAATATCGAAAGCAGCCGAGATCTTTTGGAGATACACCTATATTTCAAGTTTCGTTAAAATCGGATAAGAATTGTGACCTGTAGAGTGTCCACAAACAAATTGTGGACGGACGGACGGACCGACGGACAGGGGCGACGGCATAATACGTCCACATGAAAATGTGGGCGTATAAAAACAAACTTGGCAAAGCCTCATTTTTTTACTTTATCAATTTGTGTTGATATTTTTTTATATCAAAAAAGACTCATAGGAGATTCTCTATATACATATTGTGACATAAGCTTTTTCTTTTTTGTCCAATTTTTGCAACGAAGAAGCATGCTAAGTTTTATGTTGATGGAGCCTTAGGTTTTATTCAATAAGCGTCATCCCCAAGAAGAATTTAGTTTCGAAATAAAACAGAGTTATTCCCCTTTAGTTTTCAACCTAGAACATTCATCTTTCGTTCATTGTGTTGAAATTTGGTTTTAGTGGTTAGAGGGAAATAACTCTGTTATTATTGTTACTATATTTTATTGGGTTCAGACTGGTGCTGCTATCCATACTGACTGCACAGTTAAACCCCTGACAATTCTTGGTCAATAACATATTTGACATAATACGGTACATTTATCTTAGGGTATGCTCGATTGTCAGTTCAGAACGTTCTGAACTGACAGAATTGCAATCGAGTGCGATACAGAATTCAGTCCCGTGGTGGTTTGAGTCAAATAGTAAAGCAATAAAACACAAAATGTTTCAGCTGTCATCAGTCCATTTTTTAAGGCTAAAATCTGATTGGTAGGTCAGAGATCTTCTCTCTCAAAATAGCTCAGAATGGTCATTTAGAGGGTTAAAATTTCAAAATTTTCGCAGGGGTAGTATCCCGGAGAGGAACCACCCCCATACCCCCAATTTGCCCCTGCAGTCGCAAAATCTTAAAAAATGGCCTGGCTGTCATGGTCAGTTAAAATTTTTTCTTATGCTGTCGGAACATGTATTGTAGCCCGAACTCATCCTATTTACTTGAGAGAAATTAATTCCGAAACGGTTAATCAGGCATTCCCCACAGAAAATGGCACATCTATTTAGTCTTGAAGTTGGTATGTTAATTTTAAGAAAAGAATGTTTAAAAGTAAGGTCATTTTTGATGACAAACATGCTGGAAACATGTTTTGTGGCTCAGGGAGTAGGGCATTGGCTTAATAAACAGAAGGTCCTGGGTTTGAGAAAGTTTCTCAAGACTTTTCCAAGAAGTTTCTCCTTGTCATAGTGCAAGACGGAGGGCCAGGCAAGGTACACAAAAAACACAAGGAACAGTGTCTAGTCATTTGGACTGGGCTAATGAAGATGGGAATACGCCATACAGTGTGCTATTAGGGACATTTTGTCTGGACAGCGGCACTATGGCCTACTCTTATATCGAATTCCAACTGCCATAATAGAATCCTTGACAGTGTATGCTTGTCTTCATTAAGCCAGTAAGGGGCAGAAAATTATGACGTTAAAATCAATTTCATTTCATTTCCCCACCATCATTGAAACCAGCATATTGTAAAAATCTATAACACATACTTCTATAAATGGAAAACGTTTACTAATATATGTGGGCAACGTTTAAAAGAATATTTTCTCATCTTTAAATCGTCATCCAGATAAATAAGTAGCTGTTTTCCGTAAGTATGTGTTGTACTTTATTGCGCTATGCCTCTAAAAGATTATGGCAAGTTGTAGTCACAATTTCCATGCCATAAAAGAGTGATAATCTCAGCACCTGAAAATAAACATAAAGCAGCAGACATACCTGATGTTTTGTTTCCTCCAGGGGAGAGATTCTGCATATTTTGACGCTGTGGAGACTGTGGTTGTGGTGCTGGAACATGGCTGGCATGCTGACCTGAACCTCTACGAGTTCTGAAAATAAATAAGACATTTTGATAAAAATCCTGAAGTTCTAAACATATATAAAACAAGTAAAAGCAAGTTTAAATAGACTGCAGGTATTTTTGCATTGAAATGTTCTTGTTAATAATGAACACTCAAGGGAGATTACTTGACAAATATTAAAGTTTCTTCACATCTTAAAGAAACATTATGGAGAGAGAGAGAGAGAGAGAGAAAATAGTTCATTTCGGGACTGATACATGGTTCAATTTTATTACAATAATTCGGTTGCGCGTAGGGGTCTTTAGTCGTGCAAGGAAAGTGGAGGTTGGACAGGCAACCCGACCCTACTCCTTGTCACGTACAACCAGGGATTCGAAACCACGCCAGTTGACACAATGACAGACCTTATGATACAGCACACACATGCTAACCATTTGGCCATCCAACCCTCTGAAACATTATGTAAGAGCTAAATCTGCATAATGTTATATAAATTATTTAGACATTTATGCACATCACAACCCCATAATCAAGTCTCTAGACTGCCAATTGAAGGCCGAAAAGTGAGAGTTCTTTTGGCAATGGTACTTAACAATCGACACAATTTAGGCTATCCAATGTCAAAATTTCAAACATTCAGAACTTCACTCTGAATAAAGTAATTTGACTGAAATTTCCAATGTATTCATTTTTCGTTATCTATTTTTGATTGTCATCGCAAGAATAGACAGTGCTTGATCTAAATCTTACATAATGCACCTTTAATATGTGTGTTTATAAGAATACCCTTGTCATCGTTAATAACATGTTGGGAAATACTCATTGCTAGTACATTTGGATGTTGGGTGTTAGAGTGATCAATATTCATACAAATATTGCATTACTAGTAGCTATGTAATTGTTATAGATGTTCATGTATTATCATCTTATTATAAAAGATATCTTCATATTATAAAAGATATCTTCATATTATAAAAGATATTATCTTATTATAAAAGATATTGGGAAATACTCATTGCTAGTACATATGGATGGTGGGTGTGAGTGGTCAGTATTCATTTAAATATAGTATTACCAGTAGCTATGTAATTGTTATATAGATGTTCATGTATTTACTGTCAATAACTATTATCTTACAGGAAAATAGTCTTTATATATAGCTATAGATGTACATGAGATGGGATGGGGCTATATTCATGTAAATATAGTATTACAAGTAATTATATAACTGTTATATGTTATATATATATATATGTGTTCATGTATGTCAGATGTTGGCTCGCCATCCTGGAGATTGTGTGCTTGATCCATGTGTTGACCAAGAAAGTTCATCAGGATTTTCCAGCATGGTTCCCCCTTGTCAGTGATGCAGGATTGAGGTCCTTTCAACGGACGATATATAGTCGTTCGGATAGGACAAAAAAAACGTCCCATGTAAATACTCGCGTGCATGTAAAAGAACCCTTTACAGTTAGGATTTGATATAATAAAAGTAGGTTGCAGCGCTGCTGTCCGGGCAAAATTTCCCTCATAGCACACTGTATGGCGTATGCCCAGCTTCATTAGCCCAGTCGGTGCAGAACACTAGGACGATCAAACTCCATGTTATTTCATTTCTGTTAGTAAATGTTATATATATGTTCATGTAATTACTGTCATGTTCGTATATGTATGCTGCCACCTAACAAGGTGTTTACACACTATAAATTTATTATCTTATCTTATCAATGTTAAGCCACTTATTAGCTTTATTCCGTAAAGTGGTTGAATCATCGTCCAAGCCCAGGTCGTATGAAAAACGAATTAAGAAATTGTAAGCTTTACGATAATTGGTCTAAGATAAGAGCCAATCAGCTTTTATCACTAAACATGATAAAAGCTACCCTTTTTTTGTTACGATAATAATCCGTTCGATCAGTTCGCGTAAAAGATAAACTCCGTCAAGCATCATATCACCATCCTGTCAGTCAATCCTCTTCAATCAGCCCATGGTCGACAAAATCAATACGTAAATTTCTATACTCTCTAACCCAAACTATTGATATTTAATCGCTACGGTAACAAAACGACACCAGTAAGCGATGTTCTTCAATGCTAAAGTGCGGAATAGTTATTGATTTTCCTGAGAGTTTCTTTCACTCAGTCGACGTCCGTTGACGACAGTTGCTGTATAAATGACGCGGACTGACGTCAAAGCCGTAAGGTTAATGCCGTTATTTTATGCGTGAAACCAAAAGAAAGAATTTGAGAATACATTAAAGAGATAGAATTTATAGCCAGTAGTCCTTTTCAACAGGTCATAATCTAAATGGCTTATCATAATTGGCTTTATATATAGTCCCTTTCAACCTGGCAATTATTGATGAGTGGTGTTTTTTCTCTCACAGGAACCAGCCAGCTAGAAATATTATTCATTCCCAGGACTAATATCAATCTAGAACATCCAGAATTATTGACTTTATGCCTCCGTCATCCAGTCTCTTTGTCAGGAATCAGATTTTTAGGAGTAATAGGCTGTGTTAATTCCCCTGTTGTTAATTTGATATTTATTACTTATGACAGAAGCAGATTGACCTATATCTGCTCTTGTTACTAAAACCCTTTATCCAATCACATCCAAGAATAGATAGAAACATGGCACACTTTTTTTTCCTAGCATAAAGTGGGGCAAAACTGATTTACAGATTGGGGAATAACGCAACAATAATGATACCGCCGACATTAAAAAAGTTTTTTAAACAACATTTCACCATTTTTTAAATAACATTTAACATTTTTTTAAATAACATTTAACACATTTTTTTAAATATTATTTAACATTTTTTAAATAACATTTCAACCAATCACAGCATGGAATAAATAAGGCATTATGTCAAAAAATTTTTTTATATATATACATTGTTTAAATCATGACACAATTCGAGTCTGGTTTTATCTGGCTGTGGGTTGATTTGAAGGAACCAGTAAATTCTGCTTTAGAGAAAATCAATTTTAAATTATCTGCTATTCAAGTGTAAATAAAGCAGAGTGTCATGTTCATATTAGAACATCTTTTTTTCAAAAAGACCGATGTCAGCAACAGAAAATATTTCAGATATAAACACTTCCTAGCAGTTTCGAATTTAGAGGGGATATATTATCATTTTTTTCAAAAAGTTGGATATTAGAAAAATGCTTCGGGTATAAACACTTCCTAGCTGTTTCGAATTTAAGGGGGTTTATTGTCATTTGACCAAGCTTGAATCATCAGAACACATTTTTTGAAAAAGCCAGAGAGTGTTGATGTCAAAGAGCAAAAAAATGCCTAGTGTTATTGTGTACTGTAACTATTATATTTTTTTTTAGACATGCCGGAATTTGATAATAACAATGACGAAAAAAAAAGGATAATGCTGAAGAATTAAATATTCCATACATGACATTCCTGTCATTAAGGCTAAAATTTGTCAAACTCTTATCATGAGAGGTTTTTTTCCCCCCATGTATTCGCAATTATATTTCTAATACACTCAAAAAACAAACAATAAAGCCTGAACACCTGTCAAATTCAGGAAAAACGTAATTTTAAAAATAAAAAATCAATAAATCGAAGATTAATAAAATGTTATTTACTAAAAATCTTGCCAGTTGAATAGTAAATAGCCATTTCGATGTCTGCTGACAGTTCCTATACCTTCCTATAGCTGCAATATGAAAATACCGCTCATCCCCACCTCTGGTCTAAGGCTATTTTGGAATCCTTACCTTCTATTTTTCACCGTGATTCTTCTTTGTTTGCCAAAGGAATCATTTCTTGCCACAGCTGACACACATTTATAATAATTCAACACTATTATCAAGTAGCATTTTTCAATTAAAAACACACAAAATATGTTTGAACAGATCAGCCATTACGAGACTTGAGCATGCACAGACCGAATGATTATTTAATTGCTAAATTCTACTTGAAAATAATATTGAATTATTATAAATTTGTGTCAGATATGGTGAGGAATAATTCATTTTGCCAATCAGCAGCTGCCAGGCAGGATACGCCCACATTTTGCAAGAGATGGATAGAGAACAAGCTAAAAACAAACAGGATTTTTTGTACAATCAGGGGCAATAATCCAGAAAGTTATGGTCTGAAATGCGCAAATATCAAAAGTGACTGAGATCTTTGGGATATAAAGATATGTTTTAAGTTTCATCAGAATCGGATAAAAATTGTGACCTCTAGAAGGTCGACAACCTTCGTATTGCATAGTTTTCCACAATTTGCGAACAAAGAGCGGCCATTTTGTTGGGCAGTTTCATTTCGATTTTCCAGAAATTCGAATTCAACCTTCATTATGGTGGAATGGTGAAATATTTAAGCGGTTTTTAAAATCGGAAAAAAAAAATTGTGACCTCTTGAGAATCCGCAAGCTAAAAATGACACTTTTCGAACAATCAGGGGCCATAATCCAGGAAGTTCGGGTATCCGCGATTATTCGCACATTTTTTTTAAATCGGATAAGAATTATGACCGCTATAGGGTCCACAAGCTAAAAACGCAATTTTTCGTACAATCAGGGGCCATAATTCAGGAAGTTACCATTCGATATGCGTGAATTTCCTAAGGAACCAAGATCTTTGGGTTATAAACTTACATTTCAAGTTTCATCAAAATCAGAAGAAATTTGTGACCTTTAGAGGGTCCACAACCTTGATATACCATATTTTTACGCTATTTGAAAACGAGGGGCGGCCATTTTGTCTGTCAGTTTTGGGCCGATTTTCACGAATATCGAATTCAACCATCATTAGGGTATAACAGTGATATATTAAAACGTTTTACTAAATCGGATAAGAATTATGACCTCTATAGGGTCCACAAGCTAAAAACAAGAATTTTCTTACAATCAGGGACCATAATTCAGGAAGTTATGGACCGATATGTGCGAATATCGACACAGGAACCGAGATCTGTGTGTTATAAACATATATTTCAAGTTTAAACGAAATCGGATAAAAATTGTGACCTCTACAGTGTTCACAAGCTAAAA